AGAACGAAGCGTAACACTGAGCCATCTCGTACGCAATTTTCCCTGTTTTATTTAGCCGAATGCCTTCATGATCGGTACGGGGACAGAACCACTCTCCGTTTTGAAGAGCCGCGTCCAATTCGCTACACGATTTCGTATCGTCGTCAATGAGGAGGCGAATTTGGAAAGTCGCAGATGATTTCCAACCTGGTGATTCTCGGTCCAAGGAATATGCGCTCAGCACTAGATTTTGAAAGTCTCGTTCCCATAATTTCATATTTGCATCTTCGAGTCGGGGTTTGTTGTTGAAATCGAGAAAGTAGACTTCCCTTTTTGTAGACTTTCCATGTTCAAAGAGTTCCAAAGCTACTCTATTCGATGTTCCTCGGAAGATTGCTGGAACAACAGCCTTAACCGCTTCTGAAATGTAGGCCACCACATCCTGATGCCTATTGACACGGCACTGAATTCCTAGAAACTTGGTGGGGGCAAAAGTTTCCTTTGGGTAAAGATGCCGTGTGAACAAAATGGAATGAATGAATATCTCGAGCGTCGCACACCACAAGGAATGAAGACTGTTATTGTTGTCACCGTCGTTTTGGGCTGATGAGTGTGCATTGGACGGCATTCGTATCCACCAATGATGGAAGTAATACAACTTGCCTCCAATAATGGTGTTTTCACGACACGATGTGGTGCTATTCCCTAAAATGGGGGACAAGGCATTTGATTTCAGAGGATACGAACGCCCCCTAATTGAAACTCAAGGTTTGATTGATTGATTCGGATACCTTTCAACGTCCGGTACGATACTGCATACGCACCAAACAGAATTTGTCGTGGAATGTACAGTATTTGGCACGTCTACTGTAGGATTCTATCAGGATACCGTAGAGCACATGGCTGGTGGGGGTATAGTCGAGTTTACAACAGATTCATAGTAGGTAGTAGCCAGCAGTTATCAACAATCCAGCATTGTTCTAACCTCTCCAGCCTTCGTTGTCTCTCGGTAATTCTGACTGTTCTGCACCTTCCATTACCCAAGGGTGATCTCTGATTTCCATAAGTGACAATCGGTCCCGAGGATTCTCCATCAGCATCCGTTGCAGCAAGTCTGCTGCTTCTGGACTAATGGGTTTCTGCCAGCTATTGAGCATCTTTGCAAGTTTTCCCTTTGCGACCATCTTATACCGCGGATCCTCTGGTCTCGCAAACTCCCACGGAGGCAATCCCACCAACATGATAAACAAAATTACACCGCATGCCCATATATCGATTGCAAAGCCATCAAAAGGTCCCTCGCTCGTCAGAATCTCTGGACTGATATAATTTGGCTTTCCACAAGGTATCAGTGGAGGTATTAATCGCCGTAACCCTCCTCCTGTAACATCTCCCACTGCCCCATTGTGATTCGAGTATGGTACCCGGAGACACATGCCTAAATCAATCACTAATGATTTCGTATATTCATCAATCAAAATGTTCTCCAGTGACATATCTCTATGGCACACTCCCATTTTCTGCAAATGTGCCAGTCCCTGTAAGTTTGTATCACAAATTTGAAAAGGTTAGCAATGGGCATGGGTATAGCAGACTAGCATAGTCAAGGCATGCATAATCTTCCTCAATGACCCACCTCGAGGATCTGCTTAAACCAAAATCTAGCCATAGGTTCGGGGAATCTTCCTGCTTGTTGTACAAATCCAAAAAGATCACCAGAGTTACAGAATGGCATAAACATCAATAGGTACTCTTCATCTTGCAAAACATCCAGTACCCCCATAACATTCGGGTGGAATTCCCTTGATACAAATTGCATCGCAGCGACCTCTTTCTGAGGATCTTCTATGTGTTGCAAGTCTCTAATTTTTTGCCAGGACATGATTTTCCCGGCTGCCTTTTCTTCCGTCACTTCCCATGGTGTATCAAAATCATTTCTAAACTTCAGAACAGTACATTCCTTCACCACTCCAAAGATGCACTTTTTCAGTTTTCTCCCAACCCAGTACGCTCGTTCTGGAGGTCTTCCATCATCGTGGTGTTCATAAATAATGTTTGAAACTGTCAAAACTTCATTGGTGATTGGATTGAGTACTGGGGCATCTACTCTGACGGCCCTGCCAACCTTTGCTTTCTCAAACGGAAGATGCATGGCCGGTGGACCATTCTGCTCGATCACTTCATAGGTCGCTGATGCGTTCTCAATGAAGGTTATGTCGGACATGGATTAAATCAAGGATCGCCTACTCCTCGAATCCACTCTCTATTGTTGCAATTTTCGGTAGACTGTATATTTGTGGTGCTGATTCTGCGCTGTTGTCTCTTGATTTGTGTTTCATTGATGCTCACAAGATTTTGGCTTTTTTCCCTCTCAACCTGCGAAGCCAAGCAGCGAGTAGGTACAGCTACAGCCCTCATAGGAAGCTCCGAGAACTCAGCTCGTCCCACGATCCATTTGAGATCTCTACTGTACTGGGTACGCGAATATTGTACTACGCTAGCTTGCATGAAAGGGCAGCTCGCGCGCTGGATTGTGCACCCCTGTCGTCTTGTCGTCACGCGTCACGTCCATCGTGTCATGCTGATGTCGTCTCCAGTCTTGCTGAAGGACTTCTCCGATCAAATACACAGTCGGATGATTCATTCGCTCAACCTGGCGTCGTTTGTTTCCATGTTGACGATATCTTTCGACATTCCACGTTTTTCATGGTAGGTTCTCTACGGGCGCAGACTCCACGCAGGCAGTCAAGATACCTCCTTGAAGGAATATCCGGAAAGATGAACAATTTGTCCATGTCCCTCACCTTTTCCAACTAAATTGAACCCCTTAGCTCAATTCGAAACCCTGAATTGCAAGTGGCTTTGATATACTACACCCTTGATCATCTTGCTAGTTCGTTCCGTTCCATTACGTACACAACAACCCGAGTAAACCGATTGGCTGGAGAGTTCAGGACACTACTCAACAACAGAAGCAACACCATTCTAATCAACTATGTTGTAATTTGGTAATCCGGTTCAAATAGTCTATTTTTATCCTTGTGCATTGAGTCATTGCGCAGAAGAGTATCGTTTAGGGCTAGGGTAGAATACTCCTGCAAATGTCATCCACGGGAGAAAAGAAGGCCTCTGAGGGATTGTCCAGTTTGAACACACCTGCAACTAAAAGTGCACAGCAATCATCATCAGCGGGAAGAGATGATGAAAGCACGCAACAAACACAATCCGAAAAAGCGATACACGAATCCGCAGCAGCACAAAGTCTACAAGAAGATGGCGAAAGTGCCAAGGCAGACCCACGTTGGGGTCCAGCCCATGATACAAAGCAACAACCCAGCCACGCGGAACCCTTCAGTGGGCATGCAACAGCATTAGCACCGTCTGATACAGCAGAAGGCGACCAGCCGCCAAGGCAAGTTATAGCTGTCAGTGCATCCAAAGGACCCGCTGCCTTTTTCAATCTGGCTAGAAAGTTCTTGGTTACTGATGAAATGTGCGATCTTTCAGCACTTGAAGGAGCCATTGTCTCAGCTGTTGATGCTGCTCACTTACTCGAACGATCACAATTAGCAACGATAGTAAGGTACGTTCTATAAGCTATTGGAAGGGGAATCGAATCACTTTATCGGGTGTTTGATGTCGCTGTTCACATCTTACTTTTCTTTTTCTTCAACGCAGAGTTCATACCTCTTATGTCAGTGTTGAGCCAAAGCGAAAGAAACAAGTCATCGAAATGCAGGGTTCTCAAGAAGAAAACCTGAAACCTGTTTCGGAATCTTCCAGTACTGCTGAAGTCTCCACAGAGTCGCTTACAGTAGAAAAAGGCGCAACTTCCCAACCACCAGAAAGTCAAACCCAATCTAGTAAGAATCCACCTCCGCAAAAACCGAAGACACAACCGCCACAGCGCAATACGCCAGGAGGTCGCGAACTTCGAAGGGCTCGAATCGTCATCACTGTAAAGAGGACTGAAAGTTACAAACAGTGGTTGCTAGAGAATCCCTTGCAAGCCATTATTGCGGGAGGTTCCGACGATACCGAGGACGAAGAAGGAGGGCCTGAAACCTCACTAGCAGCATCGGCTGCAAGTGCGCAAACTCCCAGCTGACCCCGTTGCATATATTCCATATCAGAGATGCACTCTGACTAATACCATCCAATGATCACCATTGGCATCAGTCTGCAGACGATAGACACCCACCACTCGACTTGATTGCCTCCGATCATCTAGAAGCTATAATTATTTTACGATAGAGCCTTGTTACACAAGCAGCAAGTTTCACTACTAAGTAGCCAGCTCATTGCGCCCGATCTGTATTTTGTAGAAGTTCTGTGGGTTGTGTGCTGTGATGATAGCAAGGAAGTCTGCCACGCTGTTTATATCGGAATGCGATGATGATCCAACTCCTTCCTGATCTTTATCAGGCAATGAAATGTGAGAAGGAGAGATTTCGGGGCAGCATCTGGAATGGCTTGTTCATCGTCAAAAGGGCCGATTTTGGAAGTTCATACTGTATTTGGAGTCAATGTTGGATACACAAGTGATCTGCGATTTTACTTGTAAGTGCTATCGGCGGTCGGGAGGAATCTTTAGCTGTGCATCGTGAAAATATAACATTGTGGTGTCCTTCGTATCAACAGTGATACAAAGAGAGAGAAGAATGGAAGGACTATTTAGTCTTCAGTGTGTCACTTGAACCAGCCGATGCTGGTGTAACGGTGATTGTACTCATGACTGCAAAGAACATTGATCCCATGCATATTGAAGATGGACTACCTCCGTAGGACGGACAGGCCACCACGAAAACAAACGAAATCTGAAAATCATGAGATTGAAAGTGATGCCAACATACTGAATACATATAAATAGGAAACAAAACAGCGCTATGTTTTCAAAACACTACACAAAAGCAGAAGATCAACGGCAATTCGATTTTCCAGATAGAAGACAGAACAAGCAACCAAAACCAAAAAGGCGAAGGGGGAATTCTGGTAAAAGAGAACCAGGACCTTTTGAAGAAAATGGGCCAAAGCAGCAGATGGAACGACCGAACAAAAGGAAGAAGACTGGCCCATCTGAAGAAGCTCTACTGTTATCTGCAAAGCTTAAGGAGCTCTCTAGAAATAAGAATCTAGATGCTGCCCTGAAGGAGTATTGGGATTCATCAAACGACTCGATACGTGATGGCCATCATGCTTGTATCATGGTGGATTGCAGCGCTCGATGCGGAAAAATATCTGTAGGTATTATGGAGATCATTGGCGTGAAAATCCACGATCAGTCTATATTGACTTGTAGAATTCTAATCTTGCCATGCTCATGCTTTCAGGTTGGCGAGGAAATCATTGAACGGTTGACGAAGAGTGGAAAACATGTTAATGTTGAGACCAAGACAGCGCTGATAAAGGGCTACGTGCACTCTGGGGAAATTGCAAAAGCAGAAAGTGTCTTCCTTCCTATGTGCGAATGCAAAGGTGTGTATATCGTCGAATCATCTTGTGGATACTTTAATCTATCTCACAATTTGTGTAGCAAAGAGTGATCTTCCAAACATAAGAACTTTGAATACACTGCTTAGGGGCTGTCTATGGTCTGCAGCTAGCATCGGCAAGAATAAGGTGGTAACTGGTGGGGTCGTCACTTCCGAAAAAGCATGGGCGCTGTACAAAGGACTTGTCGAACGCCATGCATTGTCCAGTCCTGACATTTCATCTTATGAGTATTCGATCACACTTCTTTGCCAAGCTCTAAAAACAAAAGAGAGCGAGGAACGAATTGAGGAGCTTAAAAATGAATTTGGAGTTTCGAAAGATATGACAAGCCTTGATCAAAGCGTCACGGAGTCGCTGTCCTTGTCATACTTGGGACTAGCACGAGCCTATGCCATCTTGTCAAACAATGCAAAAGCAACTGACGCTTGCAAGAATGCAATTGACTTCGCAATTCTTTCAAAGGAGGCGCTAGAAGCAGGCAAGACACCAGAAGACGATTATAGAAAGAGAGGGAAGAACATATCAGAAAGCAGACTTGAATCTAATACACTATACCGGGGGCACCGGCTTTCCGAATTTGAGTCTGAAGCAAAAACCATTAAGGACATTGTTTCCAATAAGCAAGATGAAGGCTCGAGGTCTCGAGAATTGGCGAGACGTCTACTACTTCGTTTGCTGGTCTTCTCGGGAGGAGGCACCACAGACCTGGAGCTAGCAAACGAAGCAAAGTCCGAAGAAGACTGCTCCGTCCAACATCGCCTGGTCCATGCGGCGTACTTCAACTATGGTTTGGATATCCCTCTAAAGAGTCTTGGCGTCGAATTTGGTAAAGATATCAAGGTCCTTAGAAAGCGTGATTGCAATCGGATCCTAGGAAGCGTTGGCTTGCAAGGAGGTATCATTGATGACACTGGTTTGGTCGATTTTCGACGGCTCTTCAACGCTGGAACAGGGAAGACGAAGTCCAAGCGCAGAAAAAAGAGAATCTTAGAAATTGAGCTTGGTTCTGGATTTGGTGACTGGGTTGTGAAGCAAGCCATGACATTCCCCGAGAAGGATTATCTCGCTGTCGAGCTGCGTGCCGACAGAGTTGGCCAGACTTTCGCAAGGTCTTCGATTCTGTCATCTGTGTCTCCACTCGAAAACTTATGCAGTGTCGGTGCAGAGAGCGGCTCGCTATTGCTGGATCATGTTGCAAAGGAGTTGGTTTCTACGATATATATTAACCATCCAGAGCCACCCACGCAGACCTTCGGAGCTGAAACTACAAACCTTGAAGCTATCATGTCGGGCGGCGATGAACCGGCACATATGCTTTGCAGCAGGACACTTGTCGCTGCTGCAAAATGTCTTACTAAGTCATCACATGGAAAGCTTGTCATTGTTACGGACAACCATTGGTACGGGCGCCTCATCTGCGCTACTTTTGTTAGGATCGCGCGTCAAAATCCCAACCTTTTCCAGCCAGTCGATCTCAGCAAGCACCATTACGAGGAAGTCGAAGCATTCCCTGTAGGAACGTTGAACCAGCTTCCTGTCATTATGTATGAAGGCCAACCTGGAGAGGCTATTGGGCATGCAAAATTAAACAAAGATGACAAGGGGTCCAGCTACTTCGACCGCCTGTGGCGCAGCGGGGCGGGATCACACGCTGAGAAACGGTCAAGATTTGTGATTGTGATGTCGCGAAATCAAGGTGCAGATAGTTAAGGATAGATACTTTTGCTTCTACCGGTAGCTACAGTAAGATTTCCCAATGACTGCATTAAAACTGAATTGATATTGATAGTAGACGTATCAAAATCAAACCACTGTAATAAACTGAACTGTCCTTGCCTCTCTATTGTAGGAGGACAATGACTATTGCCAAAGGCCGTACGGCCTTCGACCGTATGCCAACTGTAGTCAATGTGATCGAACGGTCTACGTTTGACACAAATGACAAACGTTGGCCAAGTTCAAAGTCTGTCCTTCGTCGCACCAGTGATGTGTTCAAGAGTTCACAACATCAGAGACCTGCTTCCAACAAAACATCAACATGAGAGTAATCTTCTTCCTGCTGGCCTCGATCATCTGGAATCAGCAAGTACCTTGCACGCTGGCAAAAGATTCCACGCCAGATGACTACCTTGCCATGGCCGACGAGTCCCTTGGGAGAGGGTTGAATGAAAAGGCAATTGGGCTCTATGAGAAAGGAATTAGTGCTCTGGGAGAAAACGAGTCCTTGCTCACTGTAATGTCTCTTGAAACCAACATGGCTTCCGCGTTATCAGCAGTAGGTCGGAACGAAGAATCGATCAAAAGCTACCGCAAGGCCATCCTGGCTTATAAGGCAAAGATCGACGAAATTGATGATCCAGAAACAGTTAGCCATGCCAACGATATTGCCTCCACCGCGTCTTTCTACATGGGAATGGTCTACCAAGACATGTCGGAGCCACAGAAGGCCGTCGATGCTTATGGGTATACGTATGTATTGGACCCCAAACATTGGGCATCACTGGCCAATCTAGCGAGCGTTCTGCATGATCAAATGAAGCTTCATGACGATGCGTTGGATGCATACAACAAGGCATACGAAATTCTGACACAAACAGAGTACGAACCAACCGATCCTCCAGAAGAAGCAAACCCAATTTTGTCCCAGATTCAATATAGAATTGGGTTGTGCTTGAGTCATAACCTTGACAGAAAGTGTGCTTTGTCAGACGATCCTGACATGAAACCAGTGTCCTGCAAGGAGATGGCGACCCATGCCTTTTCATTAGCAGTCCAATTCGACGACCGAAATGAATCTGCAAAACACATGTTGGCCACCATTACAGCAGATGCAACAATGAAGCGAGCATCGAACGAATATGTCAAGAACCTCTTTGACGAATATGCACAAAAGTAAGCGCAATCTCTGAATCATCATCGTTTCCAAGTCCTCTCGATGTCAGCTCTTGCCTTTTGCTCACGAACCTTGCTATCTTTATCGTCTCAGCTTTGAGCATTCACTGGTTGAAGAGCTAGGGTACACTGGGTATGAAAAGCTTCGACGTGGTTTTGATAGAGCACTTGGAGACAAGATTGAACCATTTTCTCTTGTCGTAGACGCTGGCTGTGGAACAGGCCTTGTTGGAGAGCAGTTCCGAAACGTGAGCTCCTATCTGATTGGCGTGGACTTGAGTCAAGCCATTTTAGACGAGGCAGAAAAGATGCGGCCAGGATTGTACGATGAGAGAATCGCTGCCGATGTAATGGACGTCTTTCGGCAGAGAAAGCCAATCTCGTTGATTGTGGCTGCCGATTCCTACATATACTTTGGTGATTTGCAGCCATTGTTCGAAGCCATGGTAGAAGGTCTTGCTGACAATGGTGTTGCTGCCTTTACCTTGGAAAATGTGGATGCCGAAAGCGAAGAAACGTATGTATGCGGTAGCATCTTCATTGAATTGAATGTTCTTGTTTCTCACAATCGTACATATGATCATCATCATCGTTCTGCCATTCAGACTGACCGAAACCAAACCAGATTGGAGGTGGCAACTGACAGCATCGGGCCGATTCGCTCATCGAAAAGACTACGTGGAATCTATCGCAACAGATGTGGGTCTGGAGGTGATGTACAACGAGGTTATGGATGGATTCCGTCACGAGCATGGCAAGTCAGTCCGGGGTAACATGTTCATTGTGAAAAAAGTCATGAACGAAGCAGAGCTATAAAACAAACAGGCAGTCAGCAGCACAATACCAGATAAACATTTTTGCTTTTTATTGGATTACTGCAATCAGATTAGGAGGTGGCTCCCTCGCTAGGAGCTGTTTGGTTTGCTCTGGCTGCTTGTTCACGCACTGGGGCAAAATAGGCATGTGCCATGGCCTCCTTGGCGGAGAGTCGCTCTTGGTGATCATATCGCAAAAGTTTGGATACAAAATCGATTGCTTCTTCGGAAACAAGGTGCTGGTTCTCGGGTGTGATGAACTTTTGCCAAGACTTCTTGGAATGTCTTCCAAGGATTCCATCAAAATGGGGATCCAATTCCAAGTCATAAGTATCAAGGTAATGGAAAAGTTCTTCAGTTCCAAGCACCTTGGCAATCTTCACCAATTGATCGTAGTTATCGTGTCCATGGAAGAACGGCTCTTTTCTGAAAATCATACCTGCAAACATGCAACCAAGACTCCACATATCCAAAGCGTAGTCATACTCTTGCAAATCCACCAACAATTCAGGTCCTTTGAAGTAGCGTGATGCGACACGCACATTGTATTCTCTTCCAGGGTGATAGAATTCTGCCAAACCCCAATCAATGAGCCGAAGCTGTCTTTTCTCGTGATCGATCATAACGTTATGTGGCTTGACATCGCGATGCATTACCCCATTGGAATGGCAGTAGTCGAGTGCTTTCAGCAGTTCAAATATGTAGTACCGAATATCATAGTCCGAAAGTGTTGGGTAAAGGATCTTGAAGTCTGTATTGTTCACGTGTTCAAAGATGAGAGAAGGCGTTTTCGATTGAGGGTCTCGAACGACATCTAACAGTTGAATAATGTTGGTTCCCCCGCACATGTTTTGCAAGATTTTGATTTCTCTCTTAATTTTCTTCTTCTTCACGGGCTTGAGAATCTTAATGACACACTTTGTATTGTTGACCACGTTTATGCCTTCAAACACCTACCAAATAAAAAGAAATAAGCAATGAGACAAAAAAAGGTGAGCACCAAGATGATACGTGCCACTACTTGTTTTCCAATACACGAACACAACAACAACAACAACAACAAGAAAAACATACCTCGCTGTACTTTCCACGCCCAATTTTTCGAATGACTTCGTATTCCTCTTGGTCTCCCCAGTTGACGGTGAGGGCTTCATAGTCCCAGTAATCTCTGGGTCTGTGGACATTGACATCCGGATACACACTGCGAATGGAATGGAATGGAATTGAATTGGCATTGTGAGAGAGATGAATCAATCAGGGCATTGGTATATTTGACAGTCCAAATTGCCGAATGGCCATATGATCAAATGCTAATGGCAACATACCGTGCACGACTCATGCTTCTAGTTTTTGGTCTCTTATCAATAAACTCCAATCCTCGAGTCAAAGATGAATACGGTCGGCTCCGATGGTTGTGCAGCCGAAGATGTGGCAATATGAGCTTGGGAACTTGACGACCGAACACTATGATAGCAGGATTTGTCCAAACGTCCTTGAAGACTGTTTTCTATAGACAGTCTTGAGAGATGGGTATGTACGTGTCAACTAAGTACACAAGCTGACAAAAATAAAAGGTCGTCGGTTGCTTGGATGATTGCGACACACTTGACGAAGACCACTACAGCTTCGTGTCCGAGCATAAGGTCATGAGGGGCGCGGTACAGTCGGCGGGCAGCCGTTAGGCTGTAGTACCTTTTCTACAGACAGCTACCGTGGATTTGCTTCCGGGTCTCCATACGAGTCGAATGACTCCAGCGAAATGGAAACCAAAACCAACCAATTCGCACACTTCACACCACAAACACACACATCACATCGCATCACATCACATCACATCATATCACATTACCAAAGTAGAAACCATGAAGCAATTACTTTCCACGTGCGGAGATTACCATCTGGTAGGCTTGGATAAAACTGCCTTCATCTTTTCGATAACCTCTAGCAGCACAGCGTGTGAACTTTCATTACCACCGCCAGCTGACAAACAACAACAAGAAGGAGGAGGGGACCCCAATCAGATTAAATCCGAGGATCCCGATGAAGTTCAATCCGTCGATCTGCACCAAAGTGCCACCGATGCAGACGAATACTGGTGTGCCGTATCTCGAGGAGATAAAAGAATCGCCATTTATCAATGGAACGCGGCCTCTCAAGCCAAAGACAAGAAACTGGATGCCAAATTGGTCTATTCGGCATCCAAACGAGCTGTCCACATGTGTTTTGCCACCGTCCCCAGCAGTAGTAAAGCTGATAGTGGTGAAGGGGGAACACTTTGTCTGGTAGCAGGAGACTTGGCTGGAGATGCCTATGCCTACAGTCTCACTACCCAAAAGAGCAAGTTGTTGTTGGGTCACACAGCGTCCATGTTGACGGGGGTCGCCGTCCAAGGCAATCGCATTCTGACGGCGGACCGGGACGAAAAGGTCCGAGTAAGTCGCTTTCCACAAACCTATCTCATTGAGGGATATCTATTGGGACACACAAAGTACATTACTTCGATTGATACGCTGGTTTTGGAGAATAGTAGTAAATTGCATTTGGTGGCCACTTGTGGTGCCGATTCGACCATTCGATTGTGGAATTTGGAGACTCTCGAACAATTATCAGAAATAGAGTGTCCCAAAGATGAAAAGGACGATTCATCATTGATACCCATCAAGATTGCCTTGCACCCCAAGGGTACCATGGCTGCTGTCATTTATGATAAATCGGACCGATTCGATGTCTATTCGATAGAATCATCATCATCGGATGGTGCCAAAACTGCCAACCTGGTTGGGCATTTGCATACTACCAAGTGCGCGACTCCGTTACTCTCGGTGCTCTTTAAGGATGCCGATACTCTGCTGACACTCCAAAAAGAACCAAATTATCTAATTGCCTTTGAGGTGACCGACAGCTCCCTTACGCTAATGGAGGATGCTACCAGTACCATTTGTCAAAAGGCTTCCGAGTTGAGTATAACGTTACCGGAAGCCATTCTGGAGCGAGACAACTGGGGGAATATCAAGCTGGAAAAGTTGAACGAGACACGGGGCCCAGCAAGTGAAGATGCACCATGGAATCGATTTGAACGGGTGGGCATTGCCAAAGAACGGCAAAAGAGACACAAGAAACGAAAACTAGAAAAGAAGGATGTCGAAAAGAAAGAATAATTGTAAAAGCAATACTGTATTTTCTGTATCAACATAGTCCCATTCTATGTCTTGTGTGAAACAATTAGAAAAACAAACAACGAGTAAATACTGCTACGGTACATTCAAGACTCTTAGTTCTGAGCAATGGCCAACAGATTCTGACCTTGTGATATATCATCATCAGGAGGGATACCTCGATATGCCTTGGCCATATGAATCGATATTGGTGACTTGGGCTTGTCATTCTTGTCGGTTGCTACCATTCCCATTCTCTGAACAACCCCCATGCCACTGTAGATTCTTCCAAAGATGGTATGTTTGTTGTCCAGCCACGGTGTTGACTTGAGAGTAACAAAAAATTGGGATCCATTGGTATTAGGCCCAGAATTGGCCATGCTGAGGATTCCTGCCCCCGTGTGCTTGAGATTGCTGGTAATTTCATCTTCAAATTTGCCCCCATAGATAGACTCGCCACCTCGTCCCGTGGCCGTTGGATCACCTCCTTGTATCATAAAGTCTCTGATAATTCGATGAAATACGGTACCATTGTAGTATCCACAGTCTGCTAATGCCGCAAAGTTGTAGCACGTCCGAGGAGCATGTTTGTGATAAAGTTCAACAACAAAGGTGCCAACGCTAGTTTCAAAGCGGACGTAAGACCACGGTGCGTTGGGATCGTGCTCTTCTGTCATTAAAAAGCTTGTCTCTCGTCTTTCTTTAAGAAGCGATGAAGAATTTTCGGGTATGGGTTTGCCGTAGAGTGCTCAGTGCAGTTGCAAGTTGGTGATGTTGTTGTTGTTGTTGTTGGGAGTTTTGGTGGTTTCAGTTGGTTGGGGAAAGATGCAGTTGGAAAATCAGTCACGGTAGGTGATCCATTCCCGCACATATTAATTAATACCTGGTTGAGGTCTGTCAGCCGATGGCGATCTGACGCGCGACACGTTTGATTGGTTTCGGTGGATGTGAAGATGTGAACCAAATCAGGATAAGAGAAGTCGATCCTTGAAGTTTCGGCATTCCTTCACCTTCACTGCTTGCAAACAAACGCTCAATACAATCCACAATGAAATTTATAGCAACTAGTCTTCTATTACTCGAGGCAGCTTCCAGTCTCAGCATTCCCATGTCGATGGGTGTTGGAAACTCTTTTGGAAGAACCTTTCGCATTTCCACTTGGGGAGAATCTCATGGTGGAGGTGTTGGTGTGGTATTGGATGGTTGCCCCCCTCGTTTGGAAATCACTCGGGAAGAAATTCAAAAGGACTTGGACCGCCGTCGCCCTGGACAATCTCGAATCACAACTCCCAGAAACGAAGCCGATGCCGTCGAAATCTTGTCTGGACTGAACCCTGAAAACATCACCATCGGAACTCCCATTGCAATGTTGGTGCGCAACAAGGATCAACGTTCCACCGATTATCTGGACAATGATATGAAGGTTGCCTACCGTCCATCCCACGCTGACGCAACTTACGATGCCAAGTACGGTGTCCGTGCCATTGCAGGTGGAGGTCGTTCGTCAGCTCGTGAAACCATTGGAAGAGTTGCTGCCGGTGCCATTGCCCGAAAGATCTTGCACAAGTACAACGGTATTGAAATCCTGGGATATGTTTCCAAGGTTCAAGACATAGAGACCAAGAATGTTGACCATGACACATTCACAGTGGAAGATGTGGACAAGAATATTGTCCGATGTCCTGACGAAGAAGTTGCCGAAAAGATGCTGGAACGAATTGACGAGATCCGTACTACTGGAAACTCTATTGGTGGAGTCGTTACATGTATTGCACGTAATGTCCCTGCAGGTTTGGGAGGACCCGTCTTTGATAAATTGGAGGCTGACCTGGCCAAGGCCTGTATGTCCATCCCTGCTGCCAAGGGTTTCGAAGTCGGATCCGGTTTCGAAGGAACTTTGTTGAGTGGAAAGGAACATAATGACGAATTCTATATTGATCCAGAGACTGGAGCCACACGAACGAAGACCAACAGATCTGGAGGAATCCAAGGCGGAATCAGCAATGGGGAGAACATTGTCATCAAAGTGGCATTCAAGCCTACCTCCACCATTGGACAAAAACAGGTGAGTGATTCAAAGAAAGCTGTTGGAAACGTTGCTGAGACCTTGTGCGAAGGATTTGGGGTCTTCTTGTAACAAGACTTGACCTATTTTGCTGTCACTAACATTCCATTATCTGTGTTGCTTGCTTCTTCAGGGTACCGTGACGAGAGACGGGCAAGAGGTTGAACTTCGAGGAAAGGGCCGACATGACCCTTGTGTCTTACCCCGTGCCATTCCAATGGTCGAAGCTATGGTCGCCCTCACTTTGGTGGACCACGTTATGATGCAAGTTGCTCAATGCGAGCTCTTCCCCAATGAAGCTCCAATGGAACTTCAACCCAACCCAATGGGAACCACTGCTCACCGGGAAGGTGGCCCAGCTGTCTTTGCCGCTGAATCAAAGCCAGACAAGGCAGTGAGCCAACGTGTAGATGAAGAGTAAATAGAAGTTAAACATCCAAATTCGAAAGTCAGAAGAACTACTATAGTCGTATGTGATTTGATGAATGAATAGTTGAGATCTAACAAGCCACAAGAACATGGCAGTGGGGTATAGAAAACTACTAGCAGAAATATCCCACACATTTGAAACGATGTGGGGCTGTGCATTCGTTTGATGTGTTTTGCTTCCGTTCATTTCTGAACAAGAATGCAATCGCATGGACTTCCTTTTCAGGTTTACACCCCGAAGAACACAGTCCACAACAGCTTCCGATTCAAATAATTGCTAACAATCTAATACTTCTAGCAGGTAGCAACGCACAACAAAAGGCAAAACGATAAAGACATAGTTGTCAATCGAAAAAGTGACAGAGTATTCCCATTTTACAGTAAGAATTCAGAATCCAGTAATCTAATCGGAATCACTGTTTGGTGCAGCAACTGTGATGAAGCACTTGGCAATGAATTCATTCTCCACTTGACGGGCAGCATTAGATTGTAGCTTCTTCAAGATCTTTCTTCGGCTTGTTCCACGCTTTCCTGGGGTAGAAAACTTGCGCATATTTTCACGGTTGCGCTTTCTCTTTTCCTTCTTGGCGTTGACGCGGGAAGCGAACAAAGAAGTGGTGAAGGTAGGGCTCATGGTAGAGACTGGGGCGAAAGCCTACAATAGAAAGAAGGGGAAGTTGGTGAGGACACGAATCACAATGGGGCATGTCAAATTGTTCCATGACGATTGATGTGTTCTTTTCCACAATCAACAAAAGGCATTTCAACACAGGAGCAGCCGCACCTCAGCATTCAATGCAAGCGCAAGAGCAATTGCGACGAAAAGAAAAAGCTTGGCGAACATTGTCAAGTAGTTTTGTTTGATTGCTTGATGAAACAGGAAAGGAGCAGCAGCCACGAGTTGATCGTTGATGGATCGTCGTCGACGGTCTGTTCTTCGTGATGAGTGAGGAGATTGTCGGTAGTTGACTGACGCACACTGTGATTTGTGGTTCTCCAAGCACCAGTGGAACCGATCCGGCTTTGTCGCCACGACGTCTCAGTGACCAAAGAACAAGTATTGGGGTGAAGCTTGTGTGACTGACTCAGTCGACCACCTTGGTCGAGAACAGCGTCGAACAGTGGAAAAGAAAAACGAAGTCCACCTCTTTCATATCAAGTCATAAATTCTTTCGACAGACAATTGCCTCCGATTCAAAACTGAATGTCAGAGCTAAGAAACCGAGGCGCTACTCTCTCCGCCAATACTATGGAAAATGAGAAGACGAAGTCCGTGGTCAGAGAACTGGGATCTGGTATGGCTGCCAAGTCTTTGATTGATGCGTCACCACAACAACATGGAGTTGTTCTCAAGCTTCATCTGCCCTTTGTATACAATCTCATTCCTTCATTTTTGCTGAGTATCATTTATTCCATTGGTTGTCTTTCGTTTCTCCTACCTTCTTGGAAACAAAGATACCTCATCTCCTGTGGATCCTACCTGTACAAATTCAAGGATCAACAATCGAAATCCCCCAAAGGCTGTCCGTTTGATCTTGCAACCATGTCAGTTGACCTGATTCCGAAGGAAAATTCACCACATGTAGGGGCGTTACCGCCTGGTTTTGACGCTATTATCTGTGTTTCGACACTGCGAAGAAAGCAATACTATGCAGTTCGGGATCGGGAAGAAGCAATGCTATGGGTTCGCAGTCTTACGGAGGCAAAGCAAGCAGTGATTACTCGAAATTTGGGGCACGATAAGCAGATGCCGTATCCTCAGTCATGGAAACACTTTGATAGTCTTGCGGCGGGTCTTGTCAAATCAAAAGAACGAATCAAGGAAAGGATGGAGACACAAAATATGAGAGAAATGGAAATGACCAATTTCATGGATGGTGGTCCGTTACCTAGAGGGTACCATGGATAGTAATTGCTGTCCGCTTGCTTGCATTGATAGACACATAAAATATAACCATGCTAACATTCATTTCCTGAACTATTTAGTTTCCGAAGCAGCAAACGTCCTTCTTATGCGGAATAAAGGAATTTCTACCAGTCCTTGTTACTGTATTTATGCCAAATAATCAAATAGGGGAGGTGATTTGACGAGGGCAACACAAAGCATCACTGGTTGGAATCCAACAACACTTTAGGGGGTAGATTCTGATCTTTGAAGGGTAACTGACGTCACAAACCTCTCGTATGTAGCTTTCCTACGCATATTTCAATGATTTTGAACTCCCACGTATGTTTTTTGCCTCCATCACCCGTCCCATCGGATCCGATGCAGAGTGTCACCATTTTGTTTCAACAATAATAACCAAGCAAGATGTTCCGTTTCACCCTCCTCCTAGCGGCACTCAGTGCCATGCTTTCCACTTCTGTTGCCTTCGCTCCTTCTCTAGGTAAGATTGGGGATTGCAGTCGACAACGCGCCTTCTCTTATCTAACCAAGATCTATTGTGTTTGAGTAGCCGTCGGACGCAATGGTTTCTGTGCCTCCTCTGAATCTGCCATGCCAGTCCGCAGTCATTCTGGAAGCAAGTCTGAGCTTAACATGGCCGCTGACTTGAAGGGAAAGGTCGCTTTTATTGCCGGTGTCGCTGATTCCACTGGATACGGTTGGGCCATCGCCAAGGCTCTTGCCGATGCCGGAGCCACCATCATTGTCGGAACTTGGCCACCAGTCTTGAAAATCTTCGAAAGAGGTTTGGCGAAGGGACAATTCGACGAGGATTCCACCCTTTCTGATGGATCCAAGATGACCATTGAGAAGGTTTACCCACTTGATGCTGTTTTTGACGAACCCGATGATGTTCCTGAGGACATCAAGACCAACAAGAGATACGCCGGACTTGATGGATACACCATCTCCGAGGTCGCCAAGGCTGTCGAAGCCGATTATGGAAAGATCGATATCCTTGTTCACTCACTTGCCAACGGTCCTGAGGTCACCAAGCCCCTTCTTGAGACCAGCCGTAAGGGATACCTTGCCGCTTCTTCTGCTTCCGCTTACTCTTTCGTCTCCCTTGTCCAAAAGTTTGGCCCAATCATGAACCCCGAATCATGTGCTCTTTCGTTGACTTACATCGCTTCCGAAAAGGTCATTCCAGGATACGGTGGAGGTATGTCTTCCGCCAAGGCCCAATTAGAATCTGACACCCGCACTTTGGCATTTGAAGCTGGCCGCAAATGGGGAATGCGTGTCAACACCATCAGCGCTGGACCTTTGAAGTCTCGTGCTGCCTCTGCTATCGGAAAGGAACCAGGACAGAAGACTTTTATCGAGGTCGCCATTGATTACTCCAATGCCAACGCTCCTTTGGCTCAAGACCTTTACAGCGACGATGTCGGTAACTCTGGATATTTCTTGTGCTCTCCTCTTGCACGCACCATTACCGGTGTGACTCTTTACGTCGACAATGGGCTACACGCCATGGGAATGGCGCTCGACAGTGCTGCATTGAACCAGTAATCGTTGCGAAACCACTATCACTGTGAAATCGCTACTCTCAAAACATTACTAGCTACCACGTAAAACTCGCTACAATGCTAGATTGTACATACTATGTATGTTGCTTAGCTCGTATTATCTTCTATTGCAAACGAGGGGTTGCAGCGTCTAGCAGCACTTTAACAGGAACACCCAGAAACACCAACACTTTGAAGAAAACATCTCTGAACTTTGCATAGAATCCATCTCTCCCTCCTGTCTCCAAATAGCCCAAGATAGCAGCCTGTGCTGTGATGCTTGTCGTCACACCCCATCGCGCTCTTTCGTATTCCTTCAACATTGACTTTAAATCTTGATGCTCATCCTCGTCGGACTCTATCTGTGCGTTGTAGCTTCGAATCTTTTCGGCAAGACAATATGCATCTTGTATGGCTTGGTTTGCGCCTTGGCCGAGAAAAGGAGGCATTGCATGTGCCGAATCACCACACAGAACAGTCAAGGCTCCCGTAGACGATGGAACCTCTTTCGTCCATCCCGACAATGACAAGGGATTGTGGAAGTATACTCCAAGGTTGAAGAATCGGCTGGCGTCAGAAATCGTCTGAGCAATCTTTTCATCGCCAATATTCGCTTTTTCCAGCTGAGTCAACATTTGAGCTCTTGACTTTTCTTCAGACTTCTTTTCGTCTTGAGTCCAATCAGAATTCTCAGATATTGCCTCTTCGGAGGTGGTAACTGCCTTTCGTTTTCCAAGCGGGCCATTGTAACGATCGTCCAGTGAGATGACGAAGACACAATCACAGGGTGCTACGCCAGGACCATTGCCGAACGATCCAGAGAAAATGTATGAACCATCTGCAAATGTTTGTTGGATATCATAGCTGGTCTTGCGTTCTTCTGATTCGCTGGCATCTTTAACGGCGTATGCAATACGGATGCCAGAATAAATAGCTGCAGCACTTCCTTCTCTCTTTGACGCATCGGCAGAAATCTTTCCTTTTTCAATGTACTCCTTGACTGCTGACTTTACTCCATCACAACCAACAATCAAGTCAAAGTTGCCATCGTTCGTCCCATCATCAAACTCACAACATCCACCGCCAACTCCATTGGAATTGATCCCAACTAGGTTCTTACCGAATTCAACCTTTATTTTATCATCGGCTGGAAGCGCATCTGCAAGCACTTGCTGCAGTGCACCTCTCATGATTGCAACCCATTGCACTTGGTTGTCAATAATGAGTTGGTCCTCAGCATCGCCTCCTTTATCTCGGATGATTTTCTCTACTGAGAAATTCCACAACGAATCTGTTGGAGTCTTCTGAGACCACGACTTGTTCTTCCCTCGAAGATTTGCGATCTGAACTCCAGCGTTCAAGATGGCTTTATGAACTGTTGGATTGATTTTCGCCATGGTTGACAATCCTCCGTTGAGTTGCACTAAAAAATAGGGTGTGGATTCAAGTTAGAACGATTTCTTTCGCATACAAGCTAATGAGTCATACAACAGACAAACTGACCTCCCGAACCTGCTGTGAAATCCAAGGACTCTCTAGAGTCAAAGACCGATATTTGCAGGTCTTTCTCAGAACTCCTCAAAGCGTGGGCTAGCGATAATCCTGCTATGCCGGCCCCAACAATCGCAACTTTTTCGACTCGCTTGGTCTTTGCCATTGAGACAGCAGTACTCGAAAGACATTGCACCACCTGGTACACAGTAAACTGCAGTATGAGGGATCTAAGGATACACTGATGCCACTTCATTTTTGGGAACTGTGATTTTTTGTGATTGAAATTGAAATCCAAAACATCAACAAGATTTGATTTAGTCGGGGGATTACTTAGGCCTAATTGCAAAACCTCCAATCCAAAAACTATTCGCATCAAAAAAAATAGAAGAACGACTAGCAATGGAGGACGGTGTTGCAGCAGGTAAAGGCATTACGCTTATTGCCAAATGGGGAAAGGAACGTGTAGTTCTCGAGAACCTTGATGGCGAAACCACGGTGGGAGCAGTCAAAGATTTGTTGGCTCAACGAACAGGAGTCTTGTCCAAAAGACAAAAACTGATCGGTCTCAAACCAAAGTCCTCCAAACTCAACGATGGTGTGGTGTTGAAGGACCTGAAGGTGAAGAATGCAAATAAAAAAGCAGATACGGACAATGTTGTTTCACATGAGTTCATCATGATGGGGACAAAGGAGGAGAACATATTCGTTGATCCGAACGATAAAGACGATTTACCAGACGTCGTGGACGATTTTGATTTGGACTTCAATGCCGGCAGTTCTGAATGGCTACAGCACGTTGCCAACGGAGACAACCTGAAAAAGTTTACCGAATCGACCATGATCCATGTAATGAGTGAACCACGGCCGGGAAAGCCATTGTTGGTATTGGACCTGGATCACACTTTACTCGACTTCAACAGCAAAGCGCTCCAACGTGAATCTAGTACTCAGCAAGTTGGCACTGGTTCCGCTGTTAACATGAAACGGTAAGTCTGAGTCGATGTTACTACAGTGAAAGATATTCAAGCATTGAACAATGAACTCATAACAAATGCCTTGCCGTCCCTTTGAAGGCCGCACATGGATGACTTTCTCACTCGCGCATACCGACACTACGATTTAGTTGTGTGGTCACAAACGTCGTGGAGAGTAAGTATTTGTGACTTCCTTGGGCGAAAATGAATAGCATGACATTTCTAATCTACACCTGTTGTTGCACCAGTGGCTCGAAACAAAGCTGATCGAGCTGGGAATGTTGACACACCCTGGATACCGATTCTGTTTTGTCATGGACAAGACAAGCATGTTCAAAGTAACTTCGACGAAACGCAGTGGTGCACAAGTTGTGCATTACGTCAAACCGCTTCAAATCATATGGTCAAAGTTCCCTCAATGGGGAAGTCACAACACTGCACATGTTGATGACTTGTCTCGAAACTTTGCGCTGAATCTAGGCTGTGGGATAAAAGTCACCGGATTCTATCGAAAAAGGAGCAAAGCTGGACGCGATTCCGAGTTGCTGGGACTAGCAAAATATCTTGAGCAGTTAGCAGAAGCTAATGTTAGTTTTGAAAAGGTGAAGTTTGGAGAATGGAAAGATGTGGTAACCGAATCCAGAAGTCTAGTAAGAGAAGATGACAGCAAAGAAGAAGAATAAGGAGATCCCCCACCAATGTGTAGTAGAAAATGTATATAACTTGCTGTTTTACACAAACTAAAAGTTTTTATCCCCACGCATGGCGTGTTTGTTTCCACTACCTCTTGGATTTTGATCCTTCCAATCATCCCAATCCCTGTCTAATTTGGCACTGGCGTCCACTAGTTCCTTGTTGTCCTCCATTCCATCACGAACGAGTTCCTTATACCTCCGTGGCTTGTTCATATTTTCAGCCTCTGCCAGTTTCGACCGTTCCTCCCTTTCCATTGCTTCATGATACTCTCGTTCACCAAGTTCTTCCAAACTCATTGTGGGTTGATTCCAACCTGGCTGAAACACCTTGGATCGAACTTCACTTCTATTGAACTGCAGCTGACCAGTAGCACTCTTGGTGACTTGGGTAAGCTGCAGAGGTTTGCCCGAATTGGGTGGCGGCCTCGTGTCCTGCACTGGTGGACCTCCTTGATGCTTCTGTGTTCGCTTCCGTTCTTCCTCCATCTTTACCATCATTTCGATCATCGGCAACTCTCTTTTCGATGAAGCCCATTGTTCAAGAGCATCACTCTTCTGAAGCTCAAGTTGTTTGAGAAAGATGGATCTTTCCAAACTTTCTTCATCGTGCCCATCAACTTCCTCGTCAGCAGCCATTCCCATTCGTCCACGTCGTTCTCGCAGCGCCTTGAGCTGTTGGGCTTCTTTTTTTGCTTCCTGTTGCGCCTTGAACTTGGCAATTTTGATATCACGGTTCGGTACCGGCATTGGCTTTGATATGTCCGTTTCTTCCAGCAATTCATGAAACTCCTTTTCTTCCTCTTTTGTCAACTGTTCTAATCGTTCCAAACGTCCCAGAAAGGCTGCCCACAAATCACAACATTTGAGTATATTGCTCTTTCGTTCCACTATTTTCCCTGGTGAAGCTGGTAAATTTGTATAAGCAATAGCCAACAGATGTTCCAAAGCGAGAAATGGAATGGTCTTGGTGCTAACATCTTCCAGTGTTTCATTTTGGGAGAAAAGAGACACTGCGACGACATCTTTTTGAACTGCTTCCAATATTGGAATAGCTTCTTGAGCATTGGAATCTGCAAGCACTGAGCCTCGCAGTAGCTTCTCCTTGAGACTCTCTCCATTCGGAGATCCAGCACTGGCTTGGTTCTCACTCATCGTATGGAAGTGTTATTTTTTATGATTAGTCCTTTCGACTAGCTTCGTTGTGAGAAAAATGTGGGTGGTCAGCTGAGTCAACCAATTTTGTCCGTTTGGCAAGCGGACATTCATCAGTTGGGTATGACAGTCACAGTCATTTTGCAAGACTTACGTTGGTGGGTTCGTTTGATGTAGGTCACGAGGCCCAAAAGATTTCCGCATCCATACCATCAAATCTCAATCTCCAGTGGAAACGATTGAAACAGCAAAACAACCAAGGCAAACAAGATGGGCGAAGATAGCAGCGTAGAGATCTCGGACGTCGAGCTTAGCGAGGACGAAGCTCCTGCTCCAGACAAAGAGGAAAAAGGCAAAATTGCACCTCTGGAGGATGATCTTGCGGATCGAACCTATGACGATGATGATGACGATGATGATGAGGAGGAGGAAGAGGACCAAGATGGTTTGTTGCTTGTGAAGCAAGAAAAATTTTACGAACGTCTTAATCACTTCATGGATGTCCAGAGAAAACTTCAGGAGCGTATGAAGAAAATCGATCCTGACAATAGATTGGCCAAAATTGAAGTGGAAGATCACTCTGGTGGAATCCAAGAGGAAGACGGCATGTTCAAAGTTAAATACCAGCAAAAAGATGCTGAAGGAGAGCCGGCGAGTAACCTTGGAGAAGTCTACGAGGCTGCTTATCAAATCAAGCAGGCATTGCGAGATCTACTCGATTCAATGGCTGACAAAGTTAAGGGGCTTGACTATGTTGATTGCCAAATTCACGAGCTCAAACCACGTGACAGAGCAAACGACAAAGCTCGTGAAGAATACCTTTTCCGCTCTCCAGGGCCAGCAGAGAGTTGGATTTACGATGTTCTTCGGTCGACGGTCATTTGCAAGACGATGAAGCAAGTTGAATCTGTGGCTAAATTTTTGGGAAAGAAAGCACACATTGTTCAAGTCAAGAACCGTTTCCGCCGACCTGCATACAGTGGGTACCGCGACATCATATACCACGTTTTGCTTGATTGGCCTTACAAGGCGGGAGTTCAGTTCGTTGCCGAGATTCAAGTTCACCACAAAGATGTCTTGAACCTTGAAAAGATGTTCGGTCTGCGAAACCACTACCTATTCTTCCGTCCTATCTTCGCGGGTCCAATGCGATCCACTGTTGAGACGCTTCGTGACTTGGCCTTGATTCATAAATCAGGAAAGATCGATGATGCCTTGATGGGCAAGATCCTCGAATTTGAAGATCCTGACCAGCTCTTCACCTTTGCTAGAATTTTCTACTTGCAGCTCGAGGATTACGATCGTGCGCTAGAGATCTATTCTCGTGTCTTGACATTGCAAGAGTCCACAATTGGAGAAGTTCATGCTCAGACTGCTGCGACATACCAAGATATTGGTCTTGTTCAAGCTGAGAAGGGACTCTTCGATAATGGGCTACGAAACCTGCAAAAGTGTCTTGAAATCCAAGAAGAGGTCTTTGGTGCTTATAGTCCTGAAGTCGCCATCACTCGAAGCCTTCTTGGTGCAACCATTGTTCGACGTGGTGATGACGGAGATGAGCTCATGGAGCACCGTGGAGCTTTACAACAGTACAGAAAGGCGCTTGTGATCCGAGAAAGATGCCTGGGAGAGGATCACCTGGATGTCGCTGGTTCTTATCAAAACATTGGAGCCTCCTTGTGCAAGTTGGGCGATTTTCAAGGAGCCTTGGCTGCTTATCGCGAGTCTCTTTCGATTTTGGAATCCTTGCTGGGAGAAAATCATGCTGAAGTAGCCGTCGGCCATAGCTTGTTGGGTAGCGTGCTATATCAGCAAGGAGATTTCCAAGGAGCAATGGAAGAGTACAGTATTGCTCTTGCCATTCGTGAGGAAGTCTTTGGAAAGACCCACGCAACTTCTGCTGAATCTCACACCGAGATTGGTAAGTTGCTTGCTGAAGTCCAAGACTACGATGAAGCCGAGTCACGACACAGAAAGGCTCTGCGTATCCGCGATACTGTCGTTGGGCGAACTAGTCCCGAGGCAGCTGAATCGCACTACTACCTTGGTTACGTCTTGAACAAGAAGGGAGACTACGAAGAAGCATTGAAGGAACACAAACTCGCTCACTCGATCCGCTTCAAGGTATTCAGTAAGAAGCACCCTGATACCAAGGCATCTCTAAGAAGCATCCGCATCAACGAGAATAAGCAAGAAGAGCCTTAGATTAGTAGCGTAATTGGATGTTTTAAAAATAAGTTGTCCTTTTTTTGTCAAAGATGACAGGTTTCTATCACTAGGTACTTCCATAGTCACACTTCAATGTTATTTCTCCGCTGGAATGACTTAGTGGCACCACCATGCAAATTTTTGGCAGCAAGGTTGGGAGCAATAGCAGCACCATATTTGTGAGCCACATTCGATCGAAGATAAAGGCACCATGTCAAAATCTTCAGATCATATTTTGGAGAAAGTAAGTCAAAGTTAGGAAATCGTTCTATCTTTCCCCCTTCAGCTCTTTTGCTAACAAAACAATTGGTGGATAGGCAATTATACGTTGCAAAAAGGCACAAGCAATAACTCGGCCATATAATGAGGATGAGATGGTTAAGGCAGGCACTCTTGCGGCTGAAAAGCTCGATATACTGCTAGAAATGTCAAAAGAAGGTGATTTTGGAGAGCTTGGAGAGCAGCTGATGATTTTGGATGATATGGTGAAGAATATGCAACTTGCAATCTTGGAGCCTCTCACGGACTCAATAGAGACGATTGAGCGCCGCATGAACGCATATATAAGCGCAGTAAACGAAGAGGAGGTGAAATCATCTGATGCAACGTCAGCAGAAAGAAGTCAAGAGGGGGAGTCAGACGAAGCTGCTGGAAACCGGGACGTTCCTAGGCAAAGTGCAGACACAGAATCCGAACCAATGGATGATGTTACGGTCCAACAGCAAAGATTCTTTGAACGACTTCATCACTTTTTCGAATTTCAGAGAATAGCTGAAGAGAAAATGCAAATGATCGATCCCTCAGAAAAGTTGGGAACAATTAAGTTGAAGGCTCATTCGAAGGGTATACAGGAGAAAGATGGAACATTCAAATCCGGATATAGGCAACAAGACGGGAATGGCAAGACCATTAAATACCTTTCCGATCTATATGCTGCAGCCAACGAGGCGAAACCTGCCTTCCAGGATGTGCTCAACTCACTGCTTCAGGATCTTCCCCAGTTGAATGCAAACAGTGTACAAATGGCACCAATTAAAGATCAAGCTCGTGCAACTGAAAAGGCACAAGAAGAATACACCTATCGTATTCCTGGACCTCGAGAAGCTTGGTTGTTCGATATTTTGCGCGCGAGTGTAACATGCAAGACACAGAAGCAGATGTCAGATGTCAATAAGTGGCTCAAGGAAAACGTTCATATTGTTGATTGTCAGAACAGATTTGCTTTACCACAGTTCGACGGATACCGTGATCTATTGTATTACATATCAGTCCCATATAAAGAGGAATTGGCTTTTGTTTGTGAGATCCAGGTCCACCACTTTGATTTCAAACAGCAGTTTGGAGTTAATTCGCATCGACCCTACTTCCGACCCTACTTCTCAGGACCGTGGCGGGAACCATTTGAGAATCTTCGCGATTTAGATATGCTTCTCCAAGTGGGAAGAGTCGATGATAATCTCATGGAATTTCTTCTGGAGGCTAATGATTCGAGCCAGCTAAAGCTCTTTGGTCGGCTTTTCTTTGAAAAGCTGGAGGAAACGGACAGAGCGTTGGAACTCTTCAAACGTGTTTTGACGATGGAAGAAACTGCGCTTGGGAAGGGACATGTGATCACCGGAACAACATATCAATATCTTGGTTTATCGCTGTTGAAGAAAGGAGACGCGGATAGCGCCCTAATGTACCTGAGGGAAGCACTCGCAGTGTCCGATGCGAATCTCGGTTCGGCTCATCCTGAGATAGCACTAATACACAGTCAAATTGGCGATGCCCTTCTGATGAAGGGTGATTATGGACAAGCTTTGATTGGACAAACGGAGACTTTGAGCATTCGAGAAAGCTCGCTTGGCGAGAATCATCTCCTTGTTGCAGAATCCTATTTGAAGGTGGCAGAGGTCCTCCTCGAACAAGGTGATTACAGAAAAGCCTTGGCAGAATGTCACACTGCCTTGACCATCCAAGAGTCAATCTTAGGAGATTCCGCTGCGGAGGTAGCACAGACTCGACTATCAATTGGTGAGATTTTGGAGAAACAAGGCGAAGACCAAAAGGCTGCAGAGATGAATCTCTCTGCTTTGAGTATCTTTGAAAAATCGTATGGAAGGAAAAACGAAAAGGTCGCGGAGGCTTTGAGTCAGGTTGGGGCTTTGCAGGCGAAAAAAGGGCTATACAAGGAAGCTCTATCGAGCCACCAGCGTGCACTGGAGATTCGTGAAAGCCTTCTTGGAGAGAATCATCCCGAGTGTGCCAAATCGCACACATTCATAGCATTTGTCCTTGACAAGACCAAGGACGCGGAAGGCGCCGCGTCGTCTTTACAAGTTGCTCTGAAAATCCGAGGCAAATCATTGGGAAGATATCATCTTGAGACTTCAAATTCTCATTTTGACACAGGAATTCTACTTTTGAGTAACGGCGATCCACAAAATGCCATGAGTCAGTTCAAAGAGTGTCTTACAATCAGGAAAAGTCTTTGTGGTAGAAACCACCCACTTGTTGGTCAAGCGATGAATGCTGTTGGTCGATCCAAGGCCCAACTTGGAAGGCTCGATAAAGCTCTTTCAGATCACGAGAAGGCACTTGCGATTCTTGAGAAAGCTGTTGGTCCGAATCATCCTTGGATTGCAGATACGTATCAGTATTTTGGAGAGATCCAAAACCTGATGGGCGAGAAGGATAAGGCATTCGAGAGTCATAGCAAGGCATTGGGTCTGAGAAGTGAACTTCTTGGAAAACACCATCCCGAAACTGCAACATCTTGTCTGCTAATTGCAAAATTGCTTGAGTCAAAGGGCGATCTTCAGGGCGCAAAAGTTGCGTACCGCCAAGCGCTAAGTTCCTACCTCGTTTTGCATGGTGAAGATGGTCAAGCCACAGCACAAGTACGGGTATGCTTAGGACGAATGATGGTTGGGCAGTTGAATTTCGAGGGTGCGGAAGAGGAGCTAGCCAAAGCTAATGCTGTTCTTGAGGGAAACGACGATCTTCTGGCAGCAGAAGCGTTGTCGTTGCTTGGCACAGTGTTAAGCAAGAGAGAGGATTACGATGGTGCTTTGGAGTTGCATAAGAAGGCTCTAAAGATTCGACGGCGAGTGCATGGCGATCAGCATCCTGATACTGCTGATTCAGCATCGAAAGTCGATTGCGCGAGAAGCAAGAATGATGAAGACGAGATAACGTTGTAAATTATCATCTTTACTAGTAGTTTGTCTGAATTGATCTCTCGTCACTAGATTCCCCTCTTTGCCTCTAATTCCTGCAGGAGGACATGACACCGAGTGATCAGCCACAGAGCGCTTTCAGTTGACTTGTTGTACGCATTTCTGTTCAGTGAAGCAGCTGTGGGTTCAGTTTCGGCTTTCCATCTGCGCCAAGCATATGCAAAGACCATTCGACAGATATCCAGGAGAGCAATTTCATACTGTGCCTGTAGAATTTCTCTTGGGAAGACTCTTTCTTCTACATCTTTTTCTGATGACGCGGCACCAAATCTCACAAGGTCTTTCTTGAGACTAGAATAGTAGTAGTCGAGGAGCTCTGCTTCTTTGACGCCATCGTAGGAGAGACAACTTGGAAGGAGAGAAGCCGAAAAGTGATGTGCGACTTCTGTTGCGGCCAGACCAAATCCAGTCCATTGGAAGTCAATCAAGCCTACTTGGTAGCTTCCTTGGGAACTCTTCCGGAAAAAGATGTTTGCTTGCTTGGGATCGCCATGAATAAGAGTGCGGTAACGCTTGAATTCGTCACTCGTTGCTTTATCTGCTTTGAACGGATGCGATTCTCGGCCAGCCCGAGCAACCAAAGATTCCAACCGCTTTCCAATGTTTACCAAGTCCGCATCCTTTAGTTCAGGTATTTGCTTGAGCTCTTCTTCAAATGTTGGGAGCCGTGCTTCAAATCCTTTTGCAACAATTTCATATTGTTCAAATCCTTGAAGGGACGGCTGCATATATCCGCCATTTTCCCAAACAGAAGCCTCCAGTTCTTCCGCAAGCTGTCCTCCCTGCTGCTTCCAGAAATTAGAACCGTCCCAGAAATAAGCATGCATTTTTGCAAATTCGGCAATTGACGCCTTTGCCGCAGATTCGTCCAGTAGCCACCGTTGCTCCCATCCATCCTCGGCATTGAAATCATCAAGAAGAATCGAAAATTTGGACTGGAGCTGTTCCTTTGGACCGAAAGTCGACGCCACTGGTCGAAGATCTGATCCAAAGACCTTGTTGATCTTCAATCCTGCCTCCTTGATCAATCCCTCTTGACACGCTCGGCTGGTCAAGAAAGAAGTTTCAACTTGATAGCTCTTTACGTCACGAATAAGTTTGTGGGGAGCATTCATAAGCTTATTCCTTGAGTGTTCCAAATCTGCCATAACAATTCGCTTGTAGAAAACGCTAGAAGGCAATTCGCCGTCGTCATTGTTCTCCCATTCCAAAAGTAATCTCCCACCATTTGACATCATACCTCTCCACGCACCCGACTCTGGCGCTGAGTACCCTTTCAAGCTACCTTTACGGCCCTCCAGCACAAAATCTTCGATTTCCTTTGTGGATAGAGGGATGCCGTCCAGGTTTCGAATCACATCCACCGCTTGAGGCGTGCTTGGTTCAGTGCTTCCCATCCATTTTCCAAAGATTTTGTGCACAGCCTTCGTGTCAGCCCTCATCTGAGCACATAATTTGTCGTGTAATTCCGAGGCCTCTTTATCTCCTGATGATGCAATGACTGCAAAAATATTTCCGAACGAACGTTGTGGTGAATGGACGAGTGGTGATCCAAACATATCAGTCACTTTTCCACCTTTGCTGTTGATGATCGACTCGGAAGCGCAGGTATCCCAAAGCTGGGATTTGAAATGTAGAACTGCAACCGAATTCGGGACGCTCAAAAGCCGTTGGAACTTGGACGCTGTTCCCCCCACAATGACATGACGGGTGTTTTCTGCCAGATTTAATGCATGCAACGTTGCTTTTTGCAGTATCTCGTCCTTGCTATCTCCAGTGAAGACTGTCACAACATTGTCGTCAATGCTTCCATCCTTCTCTTTCAAAACAGGCCAAGTACCTGCACTGCCTTTCTGATGTGCAGCTCCATAGTGAATTACAATATCAGCCTCTGGCGCTTGGGCAAATGGCAACCCAACAACACCTGCAAGAGTTTTGTTGTGTCTAGCAATTCCAATGAGGGAAGCAACGTTTTCCAGCCGACCTTCAACGAACTCTCGTGTCCCATCCAAAGGATCTACAAAGAGCGATATCTCATCAAGTGATAGTTCTTCGTCCTGTAACGATGTCTCATCTAGTAGATTCATGTTTAACAAGTTTCCATCAAAGGTTGGAGCTGCATCTCCTTCATCTTCTTCCCCAATAATGTTGAGTTCACTCCCCCAAGTTCCTCTCAAGCTGCCAATTATTTTGGCTTGGGCGTCGAGATCTGCTTGTGTGAGAACACTTCTGGCGTCACCCTCCTCTTTCAGTTTGCCTTCTCCATATCCCTTTTCTTGAAAGGCTCGAATGATCTGTAGGAAGTGTCAATCTTTGAGTGAATAGTCAATCACATGAATCTCAAGAGCGCAACGGCTCTATCTTACCTTGCAGCCCTGATGGCTCGCATCAACGCATGTTGAAAGCAATTGAGTCAAGGAAACAGTCCTCATTGTAAACAAAAAATGAAAGATACTGTATTTTCAATTTGACCGAACTGTTCGACCGACTGCGGACAGACACTGGCCATCCAATTCTGAAAACCATCAAACCAAAACGAAAAACCACAATGATTATTAGAACGGAACAACAACAATGAAGAAGAAACGCAACCTCTCCGTCTTTGATGCCATTCAAGAGTTGGAATCTGATGATGTAAAGGCCGAAAAGAAACGGCGGAAACGTACAACAACCGACCGTCTTCGTGCTGAAGCTGCTCAATCCCAATCGAAAGTCTACAATCATTTGGTAGAGTGTCGAATTCTGTTGCAGCGAGCAACGACCTCGGTCGGAGAGGAAGAGCAGAATGATGCTGTCGAACAAGACTGTAACACTCTACTAAAGTCACTGCTGCAAGCAAGAAGTAAGCTCGTCAGTGGGGATCCCGATGTAGATGGGAAATATGAGGACGTCGTCAACAGTTCTTGTGATGACTTGGATGCCGTTTTGCAAGAAGAATACGAGGCCTGCCGAGACATATGGAAGACTGTCTTGAACAAACGGCACAATAATTTGAAGCTTCACTCAGGTTTAACAGCCAAAAGTCAATTCAAGGTCATGGATTCTTCCTTTTGGGAACAAGTCGAGGGGACAATGGAATATGAGGGTCTTCGAGAGAATGATGACCAGAAAGATACTTTCGATGACTCAAAGGTTTATCAGCAGCTACTCAAGGATTTTGTTGCAACCTCGGCGAATGCAAATAGTGCAACGCCTCGTCCCGAGAAATCGTCAAAGAATTCCAAGAAAAAGCAAGTTGATCGCGGTGCCAGTAAGGGACGAAAAATTCGATACAAGGAAATTCCAAAGCTTGTAAACTTCACTTTTCCACTTTCCAGAAACAACACTTCAAATCTTAATCAGGACGAGTGGTTTCAGAGTTTGTTTGGAGGGGCTGGGTCAAAGAAGTCATAAATTGTGCTTCGCAACCTTGGTTTGTTTGTCTCGGAGCTTGTATGTGTTACATTCTCGGTTGATAAAACTAGACTGTAATTTTTTCGTCACCAATCCTCATTCATTCCTCATTTCATCGGTGGATCAAAAGCTATATTCCGTTCGGCAGAAAGTATGGCGAGTCGATAGAACAGCTCGAAGAAGTGATCATAGTTTCGTTGAAACGACAGGTATTCAACGTAAAGCTGTCGCCCATTCTTTGCAATGCTCTCCAGCTCGGCAGGATGATCCCGGACCCATTCCATCGTTTCCGATAGATTTCTCAGATCTTGATCAAGCGGAATGTAATGCTCCCATGGAATCATATACTCCTGATACCACTCTTGATAGGGACAAGTTTGTAGTACAACCGCTGTCTTCGTGCTGAGGTGGATAGGTGTACGAAAGGCGGCTCCCCGTCCACAAAGTACCAATGCTGTCTGGAACTGGGTATAGTACTCGCTCGGGGGAATGGATTGAATTGGTAAAACTTTATTGAGTCCATTGGTAGCGTTGTTGATCCACAAACCCTTTTCCATCATTAGCCCATTCTTGGAGTCGGATATTCGTGCGTCCAACAACCCTGGATGTTTTTTGGAATACAAAACAGTCCGTATTCTTGTCGATTTTTGAGCTACTTGTTCCAATATCGTTGAATCGTCTTGTGCGTTGATGGGACCGGGCTCTCTCCAAGCAGAACCTCGCCATATTGGTGTCGTACATCTTTCATCAAAACTTATGATTGGGTGGGCTGTGTTGTCTGCCATCCTTTGCAATTCCAGGAAATTTGTGATCGTAAACCTTCCTCCAGCTGATGAGCTAGCAAAGCATTTAAAGCCTTCTTTTTCCACGTCACTGAAATCGTCAGTCGAGATGGCAATTGTCAAGTTGGACGGCAATATAGAAGGAAACGGGTGGTTCCCAGAAGACTCGTCAAACAGGTTGTTGAATATTTTACAAGCCCATGGCACTTGCCGTGATCGTTTCATTCCCATACAGAAGATTTTGGACGGTTTTGAAAGTGGCCTATCGACTGTAAAGTAGAACTTCCACTTGCAGCCGTCTTCCACACCTTCCAGATCAATGTCATTGAGAATGCTTTCAATATGTGGCGTGAACCTTGTTGTTGGAAAGTCACCACCCTTTATCCGATCCGCATCCTTTTCTGATATATCTGAACTATATGACAACGAATCCACGACGTGGTCGTCGTATATATGCTTGATTTGCGCAATGTCGAGACGTTGGCAGCGTTGGTGTTGGGTTGACGAGGATGTCACGGTGCTGATGATTTGTGTCGAGTTTGTAGGAGCCTTTTTCTTCCCTGTTATGCCAGCTAGATTGATTAATAGACTTGAAGCTCGGTAGGAAACCAGTAAAATTACTAATAGAGCTCCTAGAGAGAATATGTGTGACCATGGGATCTTGGTCGATGGTATTCGTACCATCCTATGCAAATTTTTACCCTCTTGTATTTCATCTATGCCTTTCTCCTTTTCTCCTTTCCCCAAGTGTTCGATGGCCCGATTTTTTATAATTTGTCTTGCTCAGAAATCCCGCTCAGAGGACCCGTTAGACCAGCCTCAAATCACAATCAGCCAGTACAGCTACTGCATTGCAGGATGATACACCGCAATATAGCATGAGTAGTAGAGGATTAATTTGACGCCCCCCAGTGTCTTATTTCTCGAGTTTATTCTGTGTACATAGGTACTTTTAAAAAAAACAAGTTTGAAAATACAAAACTATGAAATGTATGAAGTTTTGATGATGATCCAACTTTGAACGATACCAAATTAGTCAAAAGTCAACGGAGCAACTCTGGTTGCGCCACAATAACTCCATAGAGCGTCGACGGTTTCAGCCTCGCAAGAAGGTAAGGAAACAATGCTCTAGGAAGCTGCACGTTTCCGATGGCAGCTGGGTTGGCGTCTAGTAGTCGTCGAACGCCGGAACTCCATTTGCGACCGCTTTTAATGGCGACGTACAACGGAGTGTGATGTTCATTGTTCCATTGTGCTGCAGCAGCAGGACAAAGCGTCAAAACCCTGTTTAGAAAGTCAAGCTCGTAGTCTTCGTCTACTCCGCCTTCTGCCGGAGGAGTTTGTCTCGCAATTACATGCAATGGGAGGTCGCCTGTCGCGTCTACCACAGTGAGTTGTTGATAATATCTTTTCAGCGCCCTCTCTTTCAAGGCGAATGGAAAATCAAATATTCTTAAGCATGAATGTAGAGTTGGCTGAAATTGTGGTTGTGATTTTTTTGAGTTGGCATATCGAGCCAGTATAGACGCAGTCTCCCAGAGTTCATCCAGTAGAGCTACTCCAGTGTTGTTGACATACTTGACTACCTCCTCAGTCATGATAATCTTCTGTAACAGAATATCGATTGGCCTTAAGTTCAGATGATCACGATAGCCTATTATCGCTGGTGCTACTCGTACAAGACACTCGATGATATCTGCTCGCTCTGGAATGAAATGAACAGCAGTATGGAGAGGGGTTTGCTTCAAAACGTTTGTCTCACTGACCATGCTTGCTGGATTGCCAGTGGAATCCAATATTGCCCTGATAACATGCACTGGAACCGAGTCACTACTTAGAACCACATGCAACAGTGATGCTTTCTCATCACCAGCTGCCTCATCGCAAGCATGACGGATGGTGTCTTCGGAATAGGATGGCAAACATCCAATTAGGTCATCCCACGCATTCATCTTTGCGAAATGGAACAATTTTCTAGCTTCAACATTTTGGGGTGCTTGGACGACTTCTATGGAAGTATTGTTGTCAATGACTGTGTCTTCTTCATTCCATCTCACCATCTTGGAACTATCTATAGCGGGACAAAAATTCGATGAAGTAGTTCCATACTGTAGGTGCCGTTCCAGTATGCTTCGAAGTAAATAAAAAAGATGGAATTAGAAAACGGACAGTAGTGTTCGTTTTTGAAAAGTTTCAAATTCGAAAATGTCCTCTACCCGCAATACTGTACGTAGCAAAAATTATCCCATTTCATTTTACTTGGCAAACGGAGAAAACAAAGCATGTTGTTGCAATGGATAATTATTCTCTTCTTTGTTTTTTCAAAAGAAATCTCAGGACGAGAGATTTACACCCCCGGCGACGACTTGAAAAGTCATATCATTAGTCCTCTTCCATATGAAGTCATCCTCGCTCATCATGGACTGTCAGATGATTCCATTTCTCCCAATGATGTGTTGAAACTTCTACCTAGAGAATTCTCCTGGGGAAATGTATCAGGAAAATCCTATCTAACTCACGGTCTAAATCAGCATATTCCACAATGTAAGTTCTTCTTCAGGAACTTGTACATCTAAGGGTCAGAACTAATCGTTCCAAACTAGACTGTGGATCCTGTTGGGCACATTCGTCCATGAGCTCGTTGGCTGATCGCATCAAGATTGCACGCAATGCCACTGGAGCCGACATCAATCTTTCGGTTCAATTTCTATTGAATTGTGGATCAAAATCCCGTCTGAGCTGCCACGGAGGCTCCGCCATTCGAGCCTACGAGTTCATCTATGATTCAGGCTATGTTCCTTATGATACCTGTCTTCCCTATATTGCATGCTCCTCGGATTCAACCAATGGATTCTGCCCAAAAGCGGATACTACATGTACTCCTATGAATATTTGTCGCACATGCACCAATCCAACCAAAGGAGGAAGCTGTGCGGCCATTTCTGAAATCCCAAACGCATCAATCGCCGAATACGGAAACTACAACGAAAAGGAAGTCTTTGCAATCATGGCAGAGGTATACCTTCGCGGTCCCGTTAAAGCAAGTGTGAATGCTGGGCCCCTACAAAACTACACGGGTGGTATCTTTTTGGACAGTCCGTCAAACCGAAACACAACGCACAATCATGGTAAGTGCACTTGAAAGATGCAAATGCACAGGTTCAGAAAAGTCATCTCATTATGTCTATGACAGGTGTCAGCATTGTTGGTTGGGGATACGAGGAATCTCTCAATGTCCAGTATTGGATCATTCGCAACAGTTGGGGCGAGTATTGGTGAGTGCGCAGCTGCAGTCCTGCTCCTATCTTCAACGTATCCAAATCTCACCATTATTTTCACCACAGGGGGGAGATGGGTTTCTTTCGAATTGAGCTTGGAAAGAACTTACTTGGCATTGAAGCTCATGTATCTTGGGCGACACCTGGAGCCTTCACGGAAAACAACTTTCCCTGCTATAAGGATGGCAGCAACTGCCAACCGAGTAGAAAGTATATTGACCCTGTCAATGATCAAGGGCTCCTTCAGCGAAGGCTACTGCTTCGTTCCAAAATTGGTCGTACTTTATTTGAGAAAACAGCTCCATTTCTCGATTGAGAGAAGACCCGCCGGCCATCAACAGTACTACTAGCCTTTTCGGAGAATCAACCGTTTCGCTTCCTTGCTATTCCAGCAAGTTTGAATATCGCAGAAGATCCTTTCATTCATCCAGTCAAAGTCTCTAGACAGATTCAAAAGATTTTCGGTTTTGGAATTGGAATTTATTTATACAATGTGACAACAACTTGAATTCTTTGTCGCGCTTTATGCGTGTGCGACTTCGTCATCATCATTGATGGAGTCGGGAAGCTTGAGTCCATTTTGAGCAATGTGTTCCTCTTGGGCGCTCTTGCTTGGCTTCTCAATAGCCTCGCCTTCTGGATCGTTCTTCAACAACCATCTTTCAATCTCTTCTGGAGATCCATCTAATAGAGTCAACTCGTCCTTTGAGAACAATCTTGGGTGCAAGTACAGGCGTGCTGGAATACACAACAGAACCATGACTGGGAAAGCAATCGAGATGGACTTGATTTCTCGGACAACACAGACGATTCCAAAGAAGAGGAATTGGAACATGGTGTACTTGTGAATGCGGTTGATAGGAATGTGCGTGGTGTAGTGATTCTTGTCGATCTTGCTTGGTTGTTGGAAAAGAAGGATGAATCGTTGGTAGAACTGCTGGCCTGGCAAAGCGACCAATCCCATGAACAAGAAGACACCGTACAGAACAGGAAGTGGGATCAACTTGATGACCGAGAGAGCAAAGATACAGGCCAACACCAGGCCATGTGTGAATAGTCCAGTCAGACGAGATTCTTGGATGTACTTGACTTCGCCCTTGTTGTCCTTCTCTTGCATGGCAGTGATGTGCATGATACATGGGACAGTAGAAGCGACCAACCAAGGCAAACCCATCAAGGAGTTTACCAAGACCATGACGGCAGAAACAACGGTATCGTAGTTATAGGCGTCTCCGTGGGCAAGTCTGTTGCTTGGGTGGTTGACAATGTGCCAAGTGATACCGTTATCCAAGAAAGTCAAGATGAAAGCTGGAATTCCAAGGGCGGCGGCGATGAAGATGACTTCGGTGTTTCCGTTGAGATCAAACAAATCAACAATCCATGGTCGGCGACCCCAAGGCTCAGCTTGGTCAGGACAGTCCGTGGGCCAATAGTCTCGGCAATCTTCAGTACAGCATGTGAAGGAAGTAGCGAAAGTGTCTGGGACATTGAGTTCTTCAATTTGGACATCTTCGAAGACGGTGTGTCTCAAGGCGGTCATGACAACCACCGAAATGGTAATGGCGAAATCGGTAATAACGGTTCGGGCGTAGTCGCTACAGCAGAAGGCAGAGCTGCGGATTTGACGAAGTCCAATGGCGAAGAAGGCGGTTCCAAGACCCAAGATAAGACTGAGAAGAGCAACAGTCATGTAGTCGTATGTGGCATCTTCTTCGAGCATGTCTTCGTGATGAGGGTGGTCAGTTCCAAAGTAGTGGAAAAGACCTACCTTGGAGGAAGGATTCCCAATGGCTCCCAACAAGAAAATAGAGACGATGAGCAATGCGAATGTCTCATCAGTGAATCGAGTGGCCTTTTTGATAAGTCTGTTGAAGTCAAAGAATGCAGCAGTCAATTGGTAAAAGCAAACCCAGATACCGATCCACGCGTTGAATGTAAGGAATGGAACGTCAAGCTGTTTAGCGAGATCATAACATACGGCTTGGAAGGTCAAGACGGGTCCAGTCCCTCCATTGATCATCTATTGTGTTGGTGAGACGGAAAATCAGTGTTAGTGTCACGATCACGAAGAGCACAGAATTTGATGTCGCCGAAACAACGTGACGAACAAAGGACTTACCATTGGTTGTCCAGAGACCAAAGAGTAGAAGATTCCACACCATGCGGTAGCCAAAAGAAGCTCGACGGCTCCAATGTAGTTGTTTGTAGCTTTCGCGTAGACGGCCCCGAAAGTGATAGTAGGAGCAATCACAGCGATGAACAAGAAGAAAGAGACAGCGACAGTCTTGGTGTTGAAGTTGGTCATTTCCTTAACCCAGTGGGTTCCAATGGTGCGCTTGAAATCAGCGATGATTCCTCGGCCGAATGTTTTTGGCTTGCCATCATCTC